TATCTATATATATCTATATATATCTATATATATCTATATATATATATATATATATATATATATATATATATATAGATAGATAGATAGATAGATAGATAGATAGATAGATAGATAGATAGATAGATAGTGGAATACACACTGTGTGGGACACATGTCTAGAGTTACAGGCTGTGTTGGGTCAGAGGCAGTTCAGAGTGAAGATGGTCTAGAGTCAGTTTCCTGTATCTGTGACTCGTGGGTTTTGCCACTAAGTCAATTAAAGCCAATGGGAGAAGTAAACATCAACAAAGATTTTGACCAATTATTTCGCCCCATATTCACCAAAGTAAATTTTGGACCCATTGTTCACAAGCAACATATTATGGGACATTCCAGTAGCAAAGCTTGTATTGCATCATCTTTGACTTGCTCGTGCACATCGGTGTACAGAGGGCGTCGTCTGGCGGGAGTGTCGGACATTCAAGCTGCTTGTGTAATCGCCACAGCTCCTAAACATCTTTGCATGAATTATTTATTGCTGTGGATGAAAAGAAGCACATGCTGGTGCTTTACGTGGTAATTTACCTCTTTCCCTTTTGTGTCTCCATTTTCTATCCACTCCACCGTGACACTCTCGTTGTCCTCATTCAGCGAGGTCACCATCGCCTGGTGTATTCGTCCTGTGAAGGTGTCACAGACGGGGGGGGGAAACACAAACGTCAACGTCAGCATTTAGGGAGCAACAATGGTGGAAATATTCTTATTGTTTAGAAGTATAGCGATAAAGGCCATAGATGTGCTGCTCAACACCTCATGTATTAGTAATGAAAAAAGGGAAGAATGATAAGTAAATATAAATGTATTTTTGTTCCATCTCTTTTTCTCTGACACACACACGTTAGCATTTAATGGATTTCACTAATACCTCACTTTGGGCATTAGCAAGGTAATGTATTTAGCAGGGTAAATTACAAAGGTCCTAATTACCACCTGCAAGCCTGATCAGATCTGTGCCTCGGTCTGTGAAATTAGAACCAATTATATTTGGAAATGCAGCAAGGTTGTAAAAACCTGAGAGGGGTTATGTTTTTGAGAATGTAGTACATTATATTTAATGTTTTCTCATTGCATTGTCACTGCAAAATGAGGGCTTAATGAATCCCTGATAATAGAGACGAGCACAGCTGCTGCAGCGAGCCTGCATGCTTTTCTCTGCAGTGTAATGATACTCGCTAGAAAGAATCGGCTCAGTCCTCCCATCTTTGTTCACGTGAATCTGACTGTATGCTGTAAATAGCCAGCATGATCCAGGGAAACACAATGTTCCTGTATCTATTATTCAGAGACACAGGAAGCTAGCCAGCAAAGATGCTTTTAGTGTTCCTAACTGCTCAACATCTCTTTGATTTACCTTACGATGGTTTTATTTGGAAATACGTAAAAAAGCAAATCAAAAAGAATTCATACACGAACCAAATCAACTGTAGTTTCGATATGCATACATTTAATCCATCAACATTGATTGAAGATGAGAAGACAGCACTGTTGTATGATACATACTGTGTTAAAAAGAATACATTCAACCTAAAAAATGACAAGTGACATGATCTGAACGGACATTGCTACACATTTAAATGCAACATCAGTTTGGTCATTTTGCACACATAAGGCATTCAGTGATATATAATACTGCCATACAAATTTAATGAACAATAATGATGTCAACCTGACAATCCATACCTACCCTTCATCAGAAATGACTGTGGTCCCCATAAACTATTATGTTATGGGTTGAGTCAAGTCATTGCCTTTTAAAAACAACACTATTCAGCACTAACTACAAACAGATGGGCGATATAGTAGCGGTGTTGGGCCACCAGAAGTTGGCTTTAATGTGCCTTGGCATGAATTATCTAATTCTTTGTAACTCAGACGGGATAAACACCATTCTTACAAAAGATATTTTCTCATTTGGTGTTGACGGTGGAGAGCACCCGTCCAAAATCTCCTACAGGTGTTCAATCAGATGGAGATGTGATGACTGTGAAGCCATCATCATATCATTCACATCCTTTCATATCTCAACCATTCAGTCACTCCTTGTGCCCTGTATGGGGGCACCTGTTTGACTGTGCATGCGACAGTTTTGAGTGTACTTCAGTAATGACTATGCCAACATCAGCCAGGTCTGCTGCACAGTGGAAAGACAGCCAGACGTGATTTATTGCAAATAATACATTTTTGTTCTGTTACCTGGCACAGTAGGTTGCAAAGCAAACCTTGGTAACAGTAAATGTGGCTGGAACGGACACGCGTTGCTTAGTTTCACTCCTCTACTTAAGGGGAGTGTTGAGAGCGCGCCATGCTGCAGTGACTGCAGCACTCAGAGGATTTACGGTGACAACAGAGGGCCCTCCAAATCATTGCTGCTTCCTTTGGCTAAAGTCAGTGGTCAAATCTTTCTTTTTCAAAGCTTGAAAGAATGAAATGTAACATGAAGTGCTCAGTTTCTTTCTCTGCTGAATTAGAAAAGATGTTTGTTGTATCAACCAGCACACAGCAGCAGCCTTATTTGTATGCCATGCTGCTGCATGCGCACCCAACAGTAGCAGCCGCAAGAGTGATATATTGTATATTACTCGTTTTAACAAAGAGAAAAATGAAAACATACTGAACTCAGGTGAAGATGAACCTATTTTAAGTCCTATTTTGGTAAGTCCGATTTAATGTTGGGCAAATACCTTTGTGACAATTTGACTTTGCTTCTACGAGATGCACTGAAAAAGGAACAGTTTCATTTTGATGCATTTGTAAATTAGGAGGAACGTAACAGAACACGGAAGTGAAGGCAGTATTTATATGTTAAAGTGCAATACAAATACTTTGTCCCTAAAATCAAAGAATAATTGTTATAAATAATCGTGATTATGATTTTGGCCATACTCGTACAGGCCTATTGTTGACATAATACAGTGTGTTTTAATACAATGACCCAGACAATGTGTAGAAATGTGCGGTTATCAATGGAGCAGACTATATTTATAACCTGATTGGAGGTCACAGTAACTGTATCTAACCTGTTGCAGTCGGAGGCTGTGAGACCCAGGGACGCAAAAGATCGCTTCTTGCCATCACCAAGACAACATTTATTTACGGTAAGAGTAACTTTCTCCCTCTATAGAGAAGTCAGGGTGTCATAATATGACAGGGCTGAAGATTATATTTCTTATTATTGATTAAACTACTATCAAAAAGGTTTCTACTTATCATGCAGTCTATGAAATAATTAAATAAATGATTAAGCGATGACAGTTACTAGAGTCCAAATGAAAGAAAAAGAAAAGACTTTAATTGATAAGTCACTCGAATAACTAACCAGATTTGATCACCCTTGTGCCAGTTGACTAGTGATATACAAGTAAAAAGCCTGAAGGTAGGTCCAAGAGCACAGCAGCAGTCCCATGGCGCGTGCGCGCACACACACACACACACACACACACACACACACACACACACACACACACACACACACACACACACACACGGCTAGCTGAAGGGGCTAAAGATGGGGTGCTTTAAGCTCTGCTAAGCCCGAAGAACAAACATAGCCTTCAAAGCATCAGTTTCACAACAAACCCCAAGGCATTCATTGATGAAACGGTGTCACCATGTCACAGATTGAGCAATATAACGCAGTCCATAACTACTACGCCGGTAGGTGACATACGTCTCTCTAGTACTCTACTTTAAAAGACAAGTTTCACACAAGAATGAAGGCAAGTAACAGATAATCCATGTACAACATTAAACAGGCATACAAATTCATTTAATTTTATATATAGTAGTAGTACAAAATGATTCTCTATGAAGTCTTGCTCTCATCACGGCTGACTGTGACAGGGGAAAAAAAAACACAGGCGAGCACAATAAAAGGCAGAATCTAGGGAGCTGGCTGTAACAGATGGAGCGGTGGCCTGAATCTGAACCAGCCCCGCCAGAAACCCCCCAGAGAGGGCAATCCCTGCTCTGGAGGCAACACCAACCAGCAGGGAAATGGAACCACCACCTCCCTCTCTCTCTTTCACATCTCACTCAGGGATGATGGAGTTGAGGACATCATCATCAACAACAACCAATATGACAGTTAAAAACACACCCTTGCCACTAGCGTTGAACTGTTTATTTTCAATCAATTGCTTTGTTCAAAACCAAATCAGTTGTTTTAGGGTTTACTGCAAAACTGGGTGTAGCCTAATCCTGGAAGGTCTAGCAGAATAAAGCTTACATTCACATACAGAAGAGCTACACAATAAGCAGCCTCTCTCCTTCTGTTAACCCTTAAAAACAGATGAGGCTGAAGTGACGACTGTAATCACAGGTTACAATATGCAGTACTTGTGTAAGGATGTAAGCACAGAGCTGTCATAAGTGTTTCTTACACTACTGTTTGCTGCACTTCATTGTAACGTTGTATTGGCAAAATTAACATTATTTAAAATAAGTTTCCATGTTATAAGAGGTTTCTAAAAACACAGTTGTTTACATAATCAATGTAGTAACTAAGATATTGGGATATGTCTGTCTATGGTGTTATTATCGATACATAGCATGTCATTTGTTTAAAAATGTTTGGACAGTTACAGTTTCCATAACAATTGGTGTTAGTTTAGTAAACAATTAATAACCTGAACGAATGAATTATATTGGGTATAAACTAACGTTACAGACCAAAAGGAAACCGAACTGGTCAACTAGCTAAATGGATGGTGGCTCTATTATCTATTATTTTATATATTTATGTTATCTTACTGCTGTACTAACACCGGCCGGTAACATTAGCCGGTGCTAACCGTTTAGCTAACCACAAGCTAATGTTGGTGCCGATCTATTGAACTAGCTAACGTTAGCTTTGGTTAGCAATTTAGCTAGCTTAGCTAATATTAAATGTCAACTCCATGATAGAATAACCCATTTAGGTAACGTTATACAGCGGTACTAACGTTAGTGTTTTAGCGTCGTTCATTCCCAATTGAAAGCATTTGGTGTTGTCGTACGATATGAATTAAGAGCTAACAACAAAGGTCTCTTGAATCGCAGAGAAGCCTGCTAACAAAAGGTGAGAGCTCATTCAAAGGCTCTGGCCATGTTGCGTTACTCCGCCCTGACAGCTAACAGTAATGACTTCGTGCAGCTAACGTGAACGTTACGGTCTGCAGCCAGAACAACGGTTGCTGTATTGAACAGCAACAAAGATCCTCTGACAACTTGCACAGTGCGACGGGAACATATTACAGGGTGAAACTTACCATCACTGCGCTTTATCTCCACATAAGTACCAACGACAATCTTCCCAAAACACGACGCCATTCTACATTACTTAAACAATTAACAAAAACGGGATTAAAGACTTATTATGTGTCGGGTAGATGCAGCTTCTTGTGTTTGGTAGTCTTTGGTCGAGGTGGAAGATGCAGGCAATAGAATGAGCTAGCATTACGTTAGCGATGAAGAATAGCAAAGAACTTCCGGTCCGGTATTTTTCAAAATAAAATCAGGCTAAATTCGCTCTTGAGTTCCTGCTTGTACTAAAATATGAGATAGGTTGCCTCCTATGTAGTATTTGCAAACTGAGTGGGTCTTGTAGTTAAGAGAGCCTACTCTATGTGCAAAACGTACTTGTACTTTACATGAGTATTTATTTTCTTTCCAGTTTGTGTTACCGTACACTTATTTTACACTTTAGGTGGAATATTGCACTTTTTTACTCTTTTTATAACTTCAGGTCTAGTAACTATACTTTGTAGATTACCACTGTACATTCAACCTATAAATATGATGCATTGTTGTATCGTAAACTACCCAAAATAATGGAAAAGTTAACTTCAGCTTAACCAACTGCATAATTAAAAGTCTGCTTACAAATTAACACACAATTATTAATGCAATGATATGATGGCTCTTAATACAACACTAATGTAATACCACTACCAATTCTCCTGCAAAACAAGTAATTATATTTGTGGTACTAAAGTACAATTTGCTGATAATACTTCTACTTGAATAACAGTTCAAGGACTTTTAGTTAGAGTGTGTTTGCATTGTGGCATTGCAGCGTTTACTAAAGTAAATAATCTGAATAGTTCTTGCACCACTGTGGCAAATAAACACACTCATTTCACTTTGTGTACAATTTTCACTCGTAGTAGTGGATGGATCCTGCCACCTGGTGGCCCCAGAGCTTGAACAGTCCAAATATACAGCCCAAGCAAATAAACACTCCTTCCCTCCTCCAATACATATTCAATGGAAAGATTTTACCCACTGTCCAAGTAATAAAGAGTGCTCAAGCTTAATATCACTCTACATGTGTGTCGTGTTTTTTTGTGTGTGTATGTGTGAAGTCATTATAATCACATGTGACATATGACATCATTGACAAAATATGTTTTTATATTTACTCCGGGAATGGTGCCATACACTGCTGCAATAAGAATTGGGTAGCAAAGAAAACGTTCCAAATGGTCTGTACTTTCTCACATTGTCTCCATCCCAATTCATGGCTCCTAACTTCATGTTAAGAGTGGTAGTGAGGAGAAGAAGTGAAAAAAAAAAAACTTTTGGAAATACCCCAAATTATTCCACTGAGGACTGATGCATCATATTTGAAAAAAGTTAAATTGAATATCACCTAGATATATTATCTGAAGACAGGCATCCACTGACACTGATTTTAAGCTCATATATAGAATACGTAGAATGAATAAAATGTGTATGAATTAAAATTGGCCACAGGCATGTAAGACAAAAACATTGTATGTTCATATAATTGTCATACATTTTATTTGGGCCGTTTTGGAATTTAGCCTATACACCTATCTCTAATGACGCTTATCAATTTCTTTCTTGGACCACATGAGCTGCTTTGTTCTTTAAATTAGCATATTTTCAAGGATAACAACTCTAAAATATGTCCTCAGCTAATCAAAGTTTTGTTTTCCTCGTACTTGTTTCAACCAGTCAAACATAGCAAGATAGGTGGTGACACTTAACCAGCAGAGTAGCCCGACCGAACCTGACTTTGCCCAATCAAAACCTATTCAATTGTTACCCTCAGAAAGTGCCAAATGACAATATGACTGGTGTAGAAAGTAAAACTATACTCAACTGAGATGACACCCTGCCATAACTCTTCATTGGGTTATATTCTAATCAATTATTGTTCTAACGTATGTATACATTTATGTCTGCATGCTTATTCCATTTCCATCACTGTGGGATGTCCCTGCATGCACTGGGTAGAAGACACACAAACACTCTGAGCCGACCACCAGTTCAACACATTTTAGTTTATTTTCTTGTATTATTTACTATTTCACACACAAACAACAGACAACAACAAGAAAATGCCTAACCCCAACTCATGGGGCTCGAGATCATTATTTTTCTAGAAGCTACTAGGTTCCTCTATGGTCCTGGTCCTGCAGCTGTCCACCCCCCAACCCCTGTCAGTTCTCAGCTGTCTGTGCCCTAAATAGACCTTATCAGGAGCAGACCATCTTTGCGGTAGTCACTCTGACAGACATCCTTGAATTAAAAAAAAGTTTTATTAATAAAGACTTGAATAATTCAAAGACACTGTAAGGATATTTTTTGAAATACAAGAAATCATGGTCTATATTGACCTCTGGTACAAAGTTGCATATTGGGGTTTTAGTGTGCTTGCAGTGAACCCCTATGTGTGATGAATGGTTCATCTTAGTATGTCCCACCTCATTGAGATCCACTACAAATATAAACGAGGTGTTGGTGGGGGCAGGTTACATGAGACAGAAAACGTTTGTGACAGGGACTACAGGTCCGGACCATCTACGCAGAGCAAGAGAGACAACACACAATCCTAAAGGTACTGTACAACTTTCACAGATGTGTTGTTTTTTCATTTGAGTTACATTCAGGTATGCAGAGGGTACTTATGATAAGGGGTATAGACTGTGCCTAGATGATAGGAGATGGTATCTGTCCATTGGGATAGTGGCATTTGTTGTAAGGCTCCAACTGGGGTACAATATCATGCCCAAATAAGGCCTGAAGGGAGGCCATTTAAAGTCAGAGATAACATGTGCATGGCCATTTGCTAAGAGAGACCCGGGTCAGCAAGACACTGATTACAAACAATGGTAAGAATATAAATATTTCTAATGCTACAGAAGTTTTAAATTAAAGATACTAGTTTGCTGATGATTTCTAGGATCAATGTGAGGATCAGTACTGTAGGCTTTGTAAACCTACAAATACAAGTACATGCCATACATATACGCATGAACTGCTTTTATATTTCTATTCTTGTACTTTTTATCTTTGAACTAACAAAAAGTTGTAAAACTGTTCTGCAGATTTGTTTTTAAGCTTGCTTATTTGAAATATTTGTATGTTTGTGTTTACATCCAGAGATCTCTTGATGAATCATTTCGGTATGAAGCTTTGGTGGCTTTATTACAGTTAAAATACTGCATTTACATTTGATTGACTGATGACACTGACATTGGTATATTGAAACATTAAGTGTACATGAAAACCCATAGTTAATGGATCTGTAGATTTTATTTCATAACTCATACACTCTATTTCTACCAGATGGGAGACTCGATCCAGTTAAAAGATGAGGGAAACAAACACTTCCAGTCAGGTGATGCTGACAAAGCTATTGAGTGCTACAGTAAAGCCATAAAGGCCTGCAAGGACAAAAAAGAGCTTGCTGTCATTTACAGGAACAGATCTGCATGCTACCTAAAAAAGGTAAGTTTTGTAAAGCATACAGCACAAAAACAAGCCGATTACCAATTAGAACATATTTGCAAGTTCTTTGTCAAATTTATACTTTTATTTGGATGTTTCTGTTTTTCTTTAGGAAAACTTTGCCAATGCAGCATCTGATGCATCCAAAGGTAGAGTAATAAACACAGAATCAAACCAAATAATATCAGCAATGGCACCAAAAACATGCTTATTATAATCTTTTTTTCCTCTTATATAGCAATTGATGTTGATGCAGCAGATATTAAAGCCTTGTACCGACGTTGCCAAGCTCTTGAGAAACTAGGAAAACTGGATATGGCTTTCAAAGATGTGCAGAGATGTGCCACCCTTGAACCAAAGAATAATACCTTCGTGGAGACACTCCGCAGGCTGGGAGCAGACATCCAGGCCAAGGTAAGCATTAAAATGAACAAAACCCACACACAGAAGTACATCTACAGACTACACTCGTTACTTTACATGAATGCATTAAGCAACACTAAATCAGCAATGCTACATATATTCAACAATAATCTTTTGGCTTAAAAATCTGATTAGATTGCTTTGGTTGTGGCATTAGAAGTAAATGTTTTTTTGAAGCTAAGGAAATTTGAAAGATGGACTTATGCTGAAGCACAAACAAAATTCATGCATATGATTTGGACATGTCAGCATCCGGAAATGACTCAATGTTTCATTTTGATTCTCCACAGCTTAAGTCTACATTCTCCACAGATTCGAGGGTACAGAACATGTTTGACATTCTCCTTGATGACGAAATGGAAAAGGACAAGAGGGAAAAAGTGGGTATTTTCTGTTGTGTGAATTAAAAACATTTAAGGACTTTTCTGTTTTTATTGTTTGGTGGCATGTTTGTGCGTAGTTTAGGTTTCACTTCTGCAACATATTATTTTATTTCTAGGCTGCCAACAACCTGATTGTGCTGTCAAGAGAAGATGCCGGAGCAGAGAGAATATTCCAGAATAACGGAGTGCCTCTGCTGCTCAACATGATAGAGACAGGCAAACCAGAGATGATACTGGCTGCTGTTCGCACTTTGTCGGGAATATGCACAGGACACAAAGCTCGGGTGAGCATGCTCATAGAAAATGAGTCAAGACAATAGCAAAGTGAAAGTGAAAATCAAAGAGTTGGGAAGACAACGAGACAACTGTGTAGCTTACCAAACACAATCATACTTCAAAAGTACAACTTCTACTTATGCCATTAGAAATAAGTTTAAAATGATTTGCATTAATTTCTTTCACAAAATGTACTCTTTTCACGACCCCTAAACAGACCATGGCCATTATTCACATGGTGGGCGTTGATAAGATGTGCAGCATCATGGCTGTTGACAATGAGGAGATTGCACTGGCAACATGCAACCTCTTCCAGTGCATCAACGACTCCCTCACTGGTGGAGATAAAAGGGAATACGGGAAAGAAGAGGCCTTGGTTTTAGGTGAGACAGAATAAAAACTATCTGCATCTGTAACAAAAAGTAGATTTTATCATAGAGACTTATTCAAAGCTTAATTTGTAATCTTCAACTAAACCCCATATAAGACGGCTGCGGCTGTGGCTATGCTGCTTGCTACTACTGACTGAGACATACTTTTTTTGTTATCATCTGTCCATCTGCAGATACATCTAAAGACCTGAAAACCATTCTCCTCTCTCTGTTGGAGATGGTTGCAAGTAAGAAGGTGTCTGGCCATGGCAGAGACCAGGCACTGAACCTTCTGAGCAAGAATGTACCACGCACTGACATGAAAAACAAAGACAACTCCAAGAGCCTCTTCACTATTGACCATGGTGAGCCAGACAGCTGCATCGGGTCATTTATTTGGTTTGAGCAAAAGTCCATTTCTCCTTCCCAGAATCCCTGACAAAGTGTATTTGCCAGATCACATCTATATACGCATATGTATGTGTTTGTTCTCCAGGTCTGAAGAAGATCCTCAAAGTGTGTGGTCAGGTTCCCGAACTGCCAGACCAGCTTCCCATGACAGACAACACACAGCTGATTGCCAGTGTGCTACTCAACAAGATCTATGACGACCTCACATGTGACCCAGAGAGAGACAACTTCAAGGACATTTGTAATGAATATATCAAGTACGTCCATAAAATACAGATTCACCATTTACCAGTATTGAAGTTAAGAGTTTCTAAATTTAGACAAAGGCAACATAACTTACGCCTTATCTTTTATACTTTTTTCCTTCCTTGTCCTCCCTTCCTTTTCCACAGATGCAAAATTGACCCCAACGACATGGACAAGACCATTCATGCTATCAACACCATCTCAGGGCTGCTTCAGGGTCCCTTTGATGTTGGTAACACCCTGGTTGGACAGCAAGGCATAATGGAGATGATGGTAGCACTGTGTGCCTCCGAACGTGAAGTGGACCAGATGGTTGCTGTAGAGGCGCTGATCCATTCCTCCTCTAAGATGAGCCGCGCCTCATTTATCATCACCAACGGTGTTTCACTCCTAAAGGACATCTACAAGAAGACCACTAATGAGAAGATTAAAATACGTTCGTTGGTGGTGAGTGTACAAGCAAGGAAAGAATGGAATAGAATGTAGAACTTTATGATTTTGGGCCACAGCCCACGCACAATAAAGAATTATGAAAACATCACAGTTGAAAGTATGAACATATTAGACAATGAATTGGACAGCATAACTTGTAGATTTTGTGTGGGTATGCATACTTATTTCCATGTCATCTCCAGGGTCTCTGTAAACTGGGTTCAGCTGGAGGTGATGATTATGGTTTAAGGCAGTTTGCTGAGGGCTCCACAGAGAAGCTGGCCAAGCAGTGCAGAAAGTGAGTACTCGCATAGCCCGTTCAAGTGACTGAATCAAGCAGGTTATAATCCATGATGATAGAAAAACATGGTAGTACACGTAGAAAATCTGTGAGAAAACCGATACTTGCATCAGTATGTTTTAAATACATGCCAAACACTGAATTAGTTATTATCTAATTTTGATGCAAAATGGATATAATTCCTTACAATATGTATACAGAACCACAATGTCATTGTACATTTCATCATACCACTTCACATCATTGCTTTCCTTTTTTACTCTTCCAGGTGGCTCTGTAATCCCAAGATTGATACAAAAACAAGGAAGTGGGCTATTGAGGGTCTAGCTTATCTGACTAATGATGCCGACGTGAAAGATGACTTTGTTGAGGACGAGACTGCCCTGAAAGCCATGTTTGAACTGGCCAAGGTATGAAAGAAACAGACAGGAAGAAACAATAGAGTATACTGTATCTGATAATATATTAGAAATAATCTCTCTTCTTTCTCTGTGTTTTAGTCTAAAGATAAGACAATCATATATGCAGTGGCTTGCACCTTGGTTAACTGCACCAACTGCTATGAAAAGAAGGAAATCCTGCCTGAGCTGGTTCAACTAGCCAAATTTTCAAAGCAACATGTGCCCGAGCAACATCCCAAGGTAAAAGAGGAAGAGAGGAGATCACAATCTATAAATTGACATAGGTAGAGCAGGTTTATGTTACTCATATGCATACATATACCCACTTTGTATACTTTTTCTCAGGACAAGAAGGACTTTATTGAGAAGAGAGTGAAAAGGCTGCTGAAGGCTGGAATCATTTCAGCTCTTGTTGTCATGGTCAAAGCAGACAGCTCCATCCTGACCAACCAGACCAAAGAGTTGCTGTCGAGGTGGGAGGGGAAACATTTTGATGCGCCATCAAACTTGTCGTACAAATTACTGGAATCTCATTATGACTCAGCACAACATATCATGAATCATATCAAGACAGGTTTTCTACAAGCTGATGCCAAAATAGCTATTGTCAGAAGTCACAACTCACCGAGTGACTTTAGTTTATTTCTAAATGTTCCATGACAAAGATTAGGGAATGCAAGCTACAGCACAAATATATACATCCAGTTTCTTGTTTATTCCTCCTTAAATTGCAACATTATATGAATGTTAAACCTATTTTCTATTTGTTTTATCTTTAGAGTTTTCTTGGCATTGTCAATGGATGCCAAAGATCGTGGTACTATTGTAGCCCAAGGTGGGGGAAAGGTGAGTGAAAGATTTGGAAAGCAATGTACACGTGGATCTATGACACTTCACAAAGTCACAATTAAATTAAAAGCGCTTTAAATTAAAAGTGCTTTTTGTGCACGAAAGAGGTGGAGTTTCCAAGCACCAGAGACCCTTAAGAAAAGCTCTCATTTTACTGTATTGAGGTCTGACAGTCTGCCCGCTCAGTGCTGGTTCTCCTATGCCTCCCTTCCCTCCAGCAGACTCAGCAATATGTCAAGCATTTAGAATAACTATAAAGAAATAGCCAATCTTCTCACTGATGGTCTTGTCTACTTACTGTATGTAGGCCATTTACAAGGCATTCAATTGAGACTGTTTCATAACAAGTTACATTTTCCCAACATTAAGTCGAACTGGATAAGCTGGTTGTTGCGAAATATCCCCGATATTGTTCACTTCTCTCTTCTTGCAGGCTTTAATACCACTTGCACTGGAGGGGACAGAGGCTGGGAAAACGAAGGCCAGCCACGCCCTTGCCAAGATTGCATCTATTTCCAGCCCAGAAATCGCCTTCCCTGGTGAGAGGGTAAGACATACAACCGTAGTGATTTTGTTTATTTCTATGCCAGTCCCCTTTGACATGATGGTAGGGGAAGGGGAATGGACATTTGCTTTAAAAAATTCTAATTGTCTGTCGTTTTTGTTTGACAGGTGTACGAGGTGGTGCGACCTTTAGTTAGCCTCCTTCAAACAGACAAAGATGGAGTTCAGAACTATGAAGCTCTGAGAGGCCTCACTAACTTGGCTGGTTACAGTGACAAACTAAGGTAACATTTTTCACCATTTAACAATCTGGTCACTGTGATGCCTAATAGCTAATTTCCCACAAGTGACTTGCACTGCAACTTACAGATTTTGCCATTATTATGAGTTCTCACCTTCATCTGTTTTGTAGAGTAAAGATTGTGAAAGAGAAAGCTCTGCCAGAGATTGAGAACTACATGTTTGAAGAGAATGACCAGATCCGACAGGCTGCCACTGAATGCATGTGCAACCTTGTCACATGTAAAGAGGTGAGAACAGACCAACAGCTAGAAACACCTGATGATGCATAGTTAATGTGAGAAACATGTGTCCAACAGGTGTGAGTGCGTTGAAAATGTCAACTCTATGTGTATTAGGTCCAAGATCGTTATCTGGAGGATGGCAACGATAAACTGAAGCTGATAGTACTGCTGTGTGGCGAGGAAGAAGACAACCTTCAGGTTGCTGCAGCTGGAGCTCTTGCCATGCTGACTGCTGCTCAGAAGAAGCTCTGCCACAAACTGTCCCTGGTGGTATGTACAACAGCTTTCAGTAGTGCTTTTACTGTAGAATATAAATGATAGTGTCACATCAGAGTCTGTTTTGAAAGCATGTCTGCCCCACTATGAAAAATGCCCAGAAATCTTAGCTTTCCCTCAGGAACTGATCCTGAATCCACAGCAGCAAATAACCTGGTCAACACATGGTCAACTCACACTCTCTTTGTATAAGATTGCAAAAGCCTTATGTTCTTGCTCTTTAATACTTTAACATAATTAACTTCTATAACACTTGGGAGCATGTCATGCACTTTTTTGGGGTCTCACAAAGCAGCCTAATATTTGTAGCTTGTTTGAACACAGGCCTATGTTACTGCAGACTATGTTTGGTTTTCAAATTGCATTACATTACCATTACAGCTTAGCTGTTCTGCAATGATTTGGTATTAAACGTCCATAACGTTGTGAGAGGGGACTTGTGAGAGACACATTAAGAAAAAGAAATAGTCAAAATGGAACGATCAAAGGTTGCAATGTCCTGGCTTTGAGTCCCTGTTGGTCAACCTCCAAAAACAATGGCTCCTACACTTAATAAAACAACTCAATCACAGTTGTACACACACTAACTTACTCATGGATTCCACTGTTTGGAATTACAAGTGTTCAAAAATAAGTCTGAAAAGCAGCTTTTGATGTTTTTGATTCATCATTCACACATGTTACTGTTTGACCTCTCCAAACAGACCACCCAATGGCTTGAGATCCTGCAGAGGTTGTGTATCCATACCAACCCTTCTATACAACATCGTGGCCTCGTGATTGTCTACAACATGCTCAACTCAGACGACAGTGAGCTGGCCAAGAAGTTGATGGAGAGTGAGCTGCTGGAAATCCTCTCAGTGATTGGCAAGGCGGAGGACAATCCCAAGAGGCAGGATGCCATCGATGTTGCACGCGAATGCCTGGTCAAAGCTATGGATCTTAGTCTCATCAAACCATTCACCAGCCCTCCTTAAAATGCTGGCAACAAGACAAACGACAACCATGGACAATCTTCTTTATTTCCTTTAAATACAATACTTTTTTTCTAAATGTTTTTCTCACATCAAAGATATGAAAGGATGGGGCTCCCTGGCTCACCTGGTAGAGCACGTGCCCATGTAGGCTGAGTCCTATTGCATGGGTTCACATTTGACATGTGGCCTTTTGCTGCATGTCGTCCCCTCTCTCTCCCCCTTCTATCTTCAGCTGCCCTGTAACAAAGACACAAATATGATATAAAAAAATAAACAATATGAAAGGATTCTCCAACCTGCTCCAATACACTAAAGATAAACTCTCACAATATAAATCAGTGATGTTTACAGTTTATTTGGGGCTTGGGCTGTACAATAAGCACATGGGGGATTTCCCATCAGGATGCAAAAAAATAAAGTATTATTTCGATTTTGTGCTGAGCTGTCACTGTGAATGAATGTTCAAAGGTTGGCATTTGTGTGGTTAGATGACAAAATATATACCCTTTAAATAAAACCTAAATGTTAAAGCACATACATGCATCCGTCTTTTGGTTGATTAGTTGGGTACATTTGGCCGCTTCTCTGATATTAAGTTAGGTTTTATTCTGCTAGATTTTAGTGCTTGTTCTATTTTATATAAATATATTCATAGAAAATTCACGTCTTTTCTCAATAGCTTCAATGCAATGTGACCCAGTGATGCAAATACCTAAATGTATAACTGCTTTGGAAATAAAACAAGAACTTAAATCCAATATGATGAGGTGTGTTGATTTGGAGTGACTGTGACTCTTATCATTGAAGCTATTTAAAAAAACAGCCATGCATAACAGATCAAATCAGTCGCCTCCCATTACGTCCTAAGGAATGTCGAACAGGTCGGCCTTTCTTTCCAGACATATGACTTTGGATCTGTAGCTGTTCAGGGTGTGACTGACTCTGCAGTTGTTAGAAATTACAAAACGAAAGGACATTGTAGCATTTTGAATAAGCTATAACAAAGCATAAACAGAGTTTGAAACAAACAAAAATTACGCCTTAACCTAAGTAAAGAAATACATTAATTACATCTAATAACAACAGAAACATCTTACTGTAGCCTAATAGGGCTACAACGTTTTTTGTAGACCAACCGACCGTAAAAAGCAGACATAGAGATTGTGATAAAAAGACTACTCTCTGGAAAACCATTTCATATACACATACAGTACATAAACTTTGAGTGGAGAGATATGTAACTCAAAAGTAAATGTTAGGATCTCAGGTGTAATTTTTGATACATTTTCTGAAGAAAAGCATCTTGCTCTCTCTATAACTGATGGCAACATCGACACAACCTCTCTCATTTCCTGTTTCACATTTCCACACGTAACCTACATCTTAACCCCACAGTGTTTCTATGATTTCATACCTTGGTAGCCAAGACATTCACTGTAAAGCCAGAAGAATGAAAGGTTCCTCACAGCATTTGACCTCACCATTTATAGCAGTCATAGGCTACTCCATCTTTGTTAAACTCAGTTTAGACCTCAATTTATTGATGGTGTTAATAAGACAACTCTGGCAAACCGTTTCATATCTTATGAGCAAGCTCAGTATCGGGTTGCATTATCTTAGCTAAATGCATGCTGGGATCTCAGATGTTGCATTCAAAATAACAGTGTTCATTCATATTGATTGATACTGATTCTGATTCTGATATCTATATCTAGTATATCTATATATCATACAGCATGTGGTTTGGGTATTAACATAGAACTGCTTTGTGGAGAATTGATTGTGTTTGCCATGTGTGCTGGCGGATTTGGACATGAGCAAATAATGATTACACTTGAATGAAATTATAACTGATTGTAGGCCTAATTAAAATGTTAGATGGGGGAGTAAAATCTTTTTTTATCTTATTCTCTTTAATGGCTTATTTTATGGCTTATTTTATCTGTTCAATCTGAATTTTGGTGGTAGTTTATATATATCATCATATCAGTGGAGGAGTCAGTGTTATTATTCAGTAACAGCTCTAACAGATGTAAAAACAACAGCAGCAAATGGAGTAATAACCCTGTTATTCTAAATCAATGCTAGAAATTATAGTTGCCAAACAGGTCATACGTTTTCCCTTCACTTATAGTACAACTTAGCATGCATGTTATTGAATAATTGTTTAATTTAGAGTAAACAAGCTAATTTATTGTCTGGGTCCACTTGGGTAATCTGCAGTGAAACACTGCGGTCATGTGGTCCGTCATCCGCGGAACCTCAGTCACGTGAGCCGGCACTTGAAATGTAATGCTCGTGTATTCGAGGTGCTACGTTACGGGTGCTTTGATAGCCAAAAAGCCCCGAAATAGACCTATATTTCATCAATAATTTGTCCAATTTGATATAACAAGTCAAAAACAACGTCATTTTGTACATTAAGTGAAATATATATATAACAATACGTTTTTCAAGTGCCGGCTAACGTAACCGAGGTTCCGCGGATGACGCACCACATGACCGCAGCTATGAAAGGTTGAGAACTGGCACCTTTTCTTTTTCCTTGGCGTCTTTGTTGGTTTATCACTGTCCCTGTTTTCTTGACACTTCTGTCTGATTTCTGAATCAGGCAGGCTCATTTACTGACGGTCCATAAATCTATCGCCAGCGATTAAACGCACGAGGTGAGTACGTTTATCCGAGAATATGTCGTAGACACAGAAAGGAGGAAGATACACCGCCCCGCCCACCGGTGTAGCCCCACTTCCAGGATAAGGCTATTAGAAACGTCAACGGCACAGCTCTGTTCTTCTCGTCAGACAGCGTGGATCTGTTCAGGTACGTTTATACAAAGATACGTCTACCAGACTGCTTTTTCGTTATATCAAAAATACATCGCATAACCTGTTTGCAAACTCGTGCATCAGTGTGATGTACGTGATGTCGAGTTAACGTTAGCAGCCGGTGAGGAGAGGAGAGGCTATTTTAGCTTCTCATACATTTGGTTCAGAGTCCTCATCGGAGACCGCGATGTTCTACCCAATGTTTAAAAGTGATAATGAAGAAGTTAGATTTGGTGTTTTTACACTTAGTTGCGAGTTTATTAAGTAACAGTTAGACTAGCTAATTGTGACGCAGTCTAATAGTGATGCAGTGTAATAGTCCTGCCGTGTTACATGTGTTTTAAGGATATTCTGACGCTGCAGTTTTGTCGTGCAGGTGCAATCTATTGTGTTAGGCTGTTAGGAGGTTGTTGTCCAACCCATTCATTTAGGAACTGTTGTATTAGATCACGGACATTTTAACAATAAACTGCCAACTGCGTGCATTTCTACAAGTAGTACAAACATATTTGATTTCCTCCGGTAATTGAAATAAATATACATATTCACTACAGTAACAATACATCTTCTTTAATTGATAGGAATGCAGTTCTCTAACCTTTGCCCAGGAGAGGTCCACTGTTGGCCTATATGTTAAATGTATTGAAGACAAACTTCATCAATCAACTTTAGGGGAAACAGTTGTTGTTTGTTCAAGGGCAAGTTAGTCACTGGTGTGGTGGGGTGCAGGAAGTAAGAAGACTATTTAGTATGTGTTGGGCAACATTTAAGATGTATGAGAAAGTATCAACGATAATGAAAATGAACATGGAAGAAAAATATTGAAGAGGGAACTTAAGGTAAACTGCTAAGGAGGAAGTAGTGTGCTGTAGATATTTTAGGAAGGTCAAACAGACTTAAGATTCTGACAGAGTAGTAAGGACAAGAGGGTGTCATGGAATAGAATAATTAGGAATACTGTAAGGTTGTGTTTCTGATGGGAAACCTTTTCTCCAACAGGAATTGTGATCCAGAAAGGTTTTTCAGCACTGATCTCTAAACATGAATAGTAAGTTTCTGACCATTTACCAAATCCACACTATTTCAAGTGTCTACCAAAAATACAAACTAATTAGTTTGTATTTTTGTCTTGACAGAAGTGACCCTCATCTTTCTGGCGCTGTTTGCTCCTGGACTCGCTCAGTGCTTTCCAGTCACAGCAAGTCAAGGTACGCCTTCGTTTGTTTCCACCACTCATGATTAAAAAAAACAAGTTTCTGTGAGATATTTCAGACGTATACCCTATTTTACAGGTAGAAACAGATCGCCACAGCTGTTTTTCTGCAATATTTCTGGATGTGCCTTTGATATGACTCACGTATATTGCAACGACGTGGATCTCATGAATCAGACTGGCATCGCAGATTGTACAGGCCCTCCACCCCCCAACACTGTCTGCCGACATGGCGGTCGGGCATTCTTTTCCATCGATACAGATGGTGTCTGTGAATTTGAAGGGAAATCTGGTTACATTGTGACTGAAAAATGTACAGGTGCTTACTTTTACTTTCTAAAGCCCGTAATATACATTATGATGTTCTTTCAATTTGAAACTGCACATTCGTATCCCTGTTTTTATGTGTAAGCCTCAAATATTGGTTTCACAAACCTGTTTAAACCCTGATGCTAATTTTGATAAACCTGAATATTCTATACCTGTGTACTCCGATTGAGATGGAGATATCGTGTAAAACCCTATTTTTTTTTTTTCACTGTCATGTAGGCCTATGAGATTAATGTGTAGGCTTAGGCTTCTGTCTAATAACACATAGTAACACTTCTCTTGTTTTCTCAACTAGACCAAAGCAACATCTGTGCTTTTATCAGTGGTAAGTCTTTCCTGCAGATACACTTTACATCATGTTACTCACTGTTTTGACAGTGACTGGAGTTTGTCCTCTTTCCTCTAGCTAACATTTCATCACAAGTCGCCACAGAGGACCATGCAAGACATAGATACATTGTTGTTGGAGTTTGTAAGTTCTGAGCTTCACTTATGATGCTGCTTAGGCCATGTTTCTTTTGCTTTTTAACAAGAAACTTTAAATCTTTCTCTCACCATTCAAGTTATTTGTTGAATTCAATAAAATAACGCTTTTTGCTATTAATCCAACTTGCTTTTGCTCTCCCATCCTCGGGATCCTTGCTTTCGGTGCTCAGGGTTGAAATGTTTGCCTTTCAAATGCTAACATAAGGTGAGAAAATTGTATGGTGTGTTGCATTTATTGATTCATACAATTATTCTTTTGCAATTATCTTAAATATCCATCTCTTGATTCCACAGGTGGTTCAGCGCTAATAATACTCATCGGTACCTTTTGGTATATACACTCACGTTGGATTGTACAAAGCAGAGGGAGAAATCAACAGCCAGCAAGGTAGTTCAAATATATTATTGTCAGTTACAATGTTCTTTCATTCATATGTTTATCTGTTGTGATATTATAATACCAACATGTGTCATGTGTAATATGTATTTGTCTCAGGGACTATACTGCTATACCGCTAAGGGAGATGGAAAGCCCTGGAGAAACCAGTGACAAGTTAGTGCACATTAAATAGGCAGCTTATATAACTCATAGAATGTGTAAATGTAGATTTAAATATGCTGATTCTGACTTTTTACATCTTTAGTGATACTCCTGGATCGGCTGATGGCTCGTCTACTTCTCACCGTGACCGTGGAGCTTGAACTACAGCAGCCAGATTTTTTCCTGATATGTTTGCTTTATTGTTGTACAGTTTTATTTTGTCATCTACCGGATATATAAGGGACGCCTTGAGTTAATTCCTTCAAATGTGGCACAAACGTCTGAACTCAAGGATGGAATGATCAGGTTTTGGTGCTCAAAGGTTAAGGTCAATGTGAAATCACGTCAGCCCCATCCAGGCAAACGCAATATCTCAGGAACACCTTCAGGGAATTTCTTCAAATTCGGCACAAACGTCCATCTGGACTAAAGGAAGAACTCATGGTCAAAGGGAGGGGCGTTTCCAGGATTCAAAGAAAGGGGGGGCTTAGCCCCAAGGGGAGTGGTGCGTCAATTTTTTTTGGGGCCCATTTGGGGCCGTGGATATCCATTGTTTCAAACAGTTCATAGATTGGTTCAATCAGAATGAGTGTGATTTTGCTCTGTAGTTTTGCTTGCATTCAGTATGTGATAACACAAGAGACAGAATTTGAGGGTCATAGTGAAATTTGACAACACAAACATGAACCTTTCTCAAATAAAAAATATCCGCGTCACTCCCAAATCCTAATTCTTAAAGGGACCGCACACAATGGATGGAGAATGGACCTGACAGTGTCAACTTTATATCGTTAAGTATGATGATAGGCTATTGGATTGTAATTTGAAGGGGGAGAAAACATACAAACCAGAACGCACGCACATATGTAGCATGTTAGAGTTATAAATAACTTGTCCATGTGAGAAACAATAGTTTAATTTAATGACATCACCAAAATAAAAATATATATTTTTTTTCTTCTTTTTTTTTAAAGCCAATAATGCCAAATTATTTGGGGGGGCTGAAGAACATTTGAGGGGGGCTTCAGCCCTGGTCAAAGGTCACTGTGATGTCAACATACAGGGTTTTGGCCACAAGTCAATAATTGATATGCAAATAATGATAATTTTGAAAAATGTATAATATAATACAATGATGAAGTAATGACAGTTTGGATAGACATGGATGTAAACTGCAACTTGACTGGTTGGCGGAGGCATTCCCGCAGTATGTTTATGTTTATTTTCTTTATTTACCAGTATTAAAGTATGAAACAGTCTTCCTTTTATTTCATTGTTGTGCAAGCCTCCACCACAAGTTACTGCATATTATTATGTCCCACTCAGTATCACAAGACTGCCATCATTTTAATATCATGCACTAGGAACTAAAACGTGAATTTAAAGATGTTACAAATGTAAGACTGCAGGGGGCATGTTGGAGTCGCTGTTCGTTTCCAGTGGTGCACTGAATGGCACGGTTGTATGTGGAGAGGCAGGGGCAGGGACACAGAGACACGCAGGTCTTCTCGCTGTTCTCAGAGGAGGAGTGACTTTTCAGTTCACAGTCAGCTTGTGGTGGAAACACACCACATAGAAGGTATTCTTTTCTTATCCGCATTGATTTATTTGTTGGGGATCGAGTGCTTGAGGAAGGGGATTTCTGTGAGGCAGCAGCAGCCACTGAGACACTAAGGGAACATATTTCAACACGACTACGCATAAGAAGACGATTTGCTGGTAAGGTTTCTATGAGTTTGACATGTAGATATCTGGTTAAGATTTAAGTTAACTAGACTGACAGGCCATTACCCAACATAGCCTACATTACGTTTCGCGTTTTTACGTGTCCAGGTGTACATATGGTACATAAGTCCTCAAGTGTTACGACAGGTGAAACACTGCAGGTGCGCTTAAACTGTTTCTGGTCGGATATCAAAGTGTTATTCTCTTAAAGCAGTACAACTGACTTGACCATTTAGACTTAATTTATCCAACTAGCCTCCTTTTCCCTTAACAGAATATGCTTTGTATTATTGTTTAGAGGTCAGGAGGTGAGTATGGTTATGTTTTCATATTTGACCTAATTTAAACGACAAAATGTAAGTTAAGGCGTGGAATTGAATGTGTGATTTTAGGAGTTCGCAAATTTGAATATAATCCTTAAACTCTACATTTGTTAAATTCTTCTTGCTGCTGTTGTTTGGGTAAAGCCTTTCGCACAACCAGTGTAGCGGCTTCACAGCCACTAGTGTTTGTGGTTTGCTGTATCAACATTTACTTTTAGCTGTTTCCTAAAATAATGAGGAAGGATTTTTTTTATGTGTCAGCAACTCTTGCACTTTTAATGAAAAACTGGAAGTCTGTTCAGGTTGATGGGAAATGAGGAAAGCATGTTCAAAACATAAAAAGTAATGGAAATCTGAAAAACTAAAACCTTGATGTGTATCAGTGTAGAATAAAGCGAGTGTCAAGATCCCTCAATGTCTCTGTTCAACCTTTTGAAAACCAAGTTAATGATAGACTGCATGTGTGCAGAGTCTGCAGACATACAGCTGCTAAATCCCTTTGACACAATATGAGCTGTTTAGGCCAGGGGACAGATTTTCTGTGTTCGTATCAGATGTTGAATTGGACCAGCCTTTCATTTACTGGCCTGAGCCTCAGTACCTACGGCATTATCACTGCTCTTTACAGTGAAGTGCTACATTTCTCCCCCTGGTAGTTGGCAGCCATGCTGCAACTGTGAAATAGCTTTGCCAGTCCAAAGAGACAAAGTGATAACTGGTTTTCTTGTAGGCAATGCTGGGAGTTTTGAGAAATGCTTAGACACTCAACAGTGTCCAGCAATTGTTATCATTCAACTGTTGAGCTTGTGTGTATTTATGTCATTTACAAGATACTGAATTTTAGTAGACACAGTTATGGATGTGTGTGTCTCGGGGGTCAGAGGGTATTGCTTTGTCAAAAAGGAAGTTTTGACACGTTATGATGGGGCATGCAAAACAGTTTTATTTTATGTTTAACATCATTTGACAACAACTGGAATGAGATTTTTTTGCTGATGGAGCTTTTTCTTTAGTGTAACCTAATCCTCGACCATCTTAAACATCTGGGCATCCTGGTGGTTCAGCAGCTAAAAAGAGTGAATTGTATCTGGTATGGCTTGGGTCTGACTTCACCCTTTGACCCTTTTTGTCATAGTCCTGTGTCTCTGCATTGCAAAGTGGCAAATAAAGCAAAATGTTAAAATATTTGTGGATTGTTCTTTGAAATATTACAGACACCAGTCACTAATTTGGATCAAAGTGTGACATAGTGATAATTAGAGAAAATGAATAATCATGTAAATCTGTCTGTGGTGCACTTTTAGGTTTTACACATGATTATAAGCTTATGATTTCCTTTATGAACTTTGTTTCCTTCTTATTTGACTGGGAGGCAGTGAAATTGGTCGAGCTCGTGCCAGGATGGTCAGCTTTGCCGCAGAGGATGTTTGAAAGGGAAAACAGCTCATGCAAATGCCCGGCTCTCTCCTTGAGACCAACACCTGAGCTCCTGTGCTGTGCTGCCTGCTGCCCTGGCACTGATATGTCGCTTGTCAGAGTGAGCTGCATCTGTGCATTATATAATATTTTACATCTGAGTGGCGGCACAGCACTGTAGAGCCAAAACCTTGTCAACACAAATTATATTTATTTCTGTGACTCTCTTGACGCTCTTGTTGGGCTTTTGCTGCAGTGGACCAGACTTTCTTAAACTGGTAATTATATAAATTGGACTGTTACTGTAAGCATTAATCGATGGCACTGATTCAAAGCAGAGGGACGCTTTTTTAAGCAAGCAGTTTATTATTTTCCTGCTGAGCTTCCTGTGAAGAGGTAGCACAGCAGTTACAAGTTCTAAGCTATAGTCTTGTGATTTTGGGTCAAAGAGCACTCTTCCATGGGATCTCATAGGACCAAAACATCAGGCATATGAGGCTCATTAAGAGCCGGTTACATAAGTCAGTGCCCTGAACAGTAGTTCTCAGCTCTCTCTCCCTCATTCCTGATAATGGTCTGACTGACCGATGTGCTTTGTGTCCACACACACGGGTGTGGCCTTATGTTGGGTCTTGTTACATTCGAGATGTTCTGATAAAAAAAATGTTGTGATAGTGAAATCCAGCACCTCATAATGTTTGTGTGTGTTTAGTTTGACCTCTCCTCTTACTACACCCACTCTGATTGTCCTGTCTACAGTGCTGTACTCTGGCTTGAAGTGCTGATGGGCTATGTCCCAGTTGCAATGTAATGAAAGCATGACAGGAGTGTTTGTTTTCTTTCCAGACTTCGTCATATCAGGTTATTCAGCACCATGCCATTCTTTTCTTGTTGCCTGTCTCAGCTCACTTGTGGCAACCTTTAATCGGATCACTTTAGCGAGGGACAGTGCATTTCGTTAAAGAATGAGATATGAGATTATTTGCAGGTGGTTTCCATACAGATTGTATAACACATTATATAAAAACAAAATGTGGCGTCCAACTTTGTAAGGACTTGGTTTTAATTCCTGTAGTGGACATTATTTATTGAATTTCAGTTTTCTGTGATTTCACTAGTGGCAGTTATGAGTTGTCCAACAATACAACATGTAGTTTGTTTTGTAGTTTCTGATGGGTAAATATGTCTTGTGTGTTCTGCTGTTTTGTCATTTCAACAGTAAGTCAGTGCCAGGCCTTTAGGGGTTTATACTAATGATTACTTCTCTTATTGGTTAATCTATTACTAAATAAGTAATTTAGCCTTTACAATGCCAAACCAGCAAATATTCAATTCATACTAATGCAATTAAAAAAAGTAAGGATTTATAGTCTGTCTATAATGGATTTTTGTGGCAGATATCATTTGGGAATAAAAAAAATCAGATATATTGGTTATTGTTTTAACATAAACACTCAACACAAACATTTTTGATGAAGAATTGTGTTCAAGATATGTACTCAGTACATTTTGTACGTTGAAAATTACACTTGTCTGCAGTGGAAAAATTAATGGGGACACTGGCTCTACAGGATTTCTGTAATGCAAGGTCTTATTGTTTTTGAACATTACTTTTTGGGGCCTTTAATGAGTTTATTTAATAGTGATAGTGGACAGAATGGTCAAGCCACCCTGGAATTAAACCAGGGACACACTGCTCAGGATATTTGCACTGCTGAGATGCATCCTAACCACATGGCTATCGTGTCAATCAACCTGATTCAACGTCTTGTTACTTGGCCGACACATGATGATAGTGACAGATATACTGATGAATCTGGGTTAAGCTAATATAGCCCGATATATTGGCCACATCATATCATCGACCAGGATCTACATTTGTGAAGCATTAACCTGTATGTTTGGTGTTTTTACTAGATGAATTAAATGATCAGTTTTGTCATCAAAATTGGAATTTAGTGTCAAGCAGTGCCGAATAAGAAGGTGCTTTGTAGCATAATACCGAGACAGGTCAGTGGGCAGTTTGACCCACATACGCTATTGAATGGATGAGGTTTAG